CTGAGGAGCCTAACGCCGAGGGAGGCCTGGAAGGAGAAGACAAGAAATCGGGCCTTCTCGGCGGTGGCTCCTTGCCTCTGGAACAATCTACCTCCTGGGATTCGCGGGGCTCCCTCACTGGATATCTTTAAGAAGCAATTGAAGACATGGATGTTTCGTCAGGCCTTTTCTCCAGACAATTCCTGATGTTTCTTTTCCACTGCACTTGGTTTCTATTTTTGTAAAGTTTTTATTATTTACGCTGTTATATGTATGTATACTTTTATTACCTGATGTTAGCCGCCTAGAGTGGTCCTGAGTTGGCTAGATAGGCGGGATATAAATAAAATAAATAAATAAAATAAACAAATTAAAGAAGTCAGCCACACACAGGGATGTGTGCCAGCAGTGCTCCAGATAGGCAACTCTATGCAACGCCCCCAGGAGGACTCTCATATTAAACTTACAAACTTACAGATAGTTGACAGTATACAGATAGGACAATGGTTATATAATGCCAATTAGATTGGTCAAAGAAAGGCTTTGATGTTAGCTCTCTATCACTATGAGAAAGAGGAAGAATGGGTAGCCACGCCACCAGAAGCAGCCGCATCTTGCTAGGAGGGTGTGTCCTCACTACAACAACAATGTGGCTTAGCAACCTTGGGGATGGCCCTCCCACACTGTCCCACATATAGATTTATCAGGAGATAGATAAGGTGGTCAGGCACTCCCATTTCGTTAAGGACTTGCCATAGTTTGCTGTGGTCCACACAGTCAAAGGCTTTTGTATAGTCAATGAAGCAGAAGTAGATTTTTTTTAAATTCTCTGGCTTTCTCTATAATCCACTGCATGTTAGCAATTTGGTCTCTAGTTCCTCTGCCCCTTCGAAATCCATCTTGTACTTCTGGGAGTTCTCTTTGGGATGGGTTTTGTTACTGCTTCCTGTACAATGTTACGAGCCTCCATCCGTAGTTCTTCAGGCACTCTGTCCACCAAATCTAGTTCCTTAAATCTGTTCTTCACTTCCACTGTGTATTCATAAGGGATTTCATTTAGATTATACCTGACTAGCCCAGTGGCTTTTCCTACTTTGTTCAGTTTAAGTTTGAGATTTGCTATAAAAAGCTGATGATTAGAGCAACAATGAGCTCCAGGTCTTGTTTTTGCTGACTGTTTAGAGCTTCTCCATCTTTGACTGCAGGGAATATAAACAATCTGATTTCGGTTTCCCATCTGGTGATGTCCATGTGTAGAGCTGCCTCTTGTGTTGTTGGAAAAGAGTGTTTGTGATGACCAGCTCGTTCTCTTGAGAAAACTCTTAGCCTTTGCCCTGCTTCGTTTTGAACTTCAAGGCCAAATTTACATGCTATTCCTTTTATTTCCTGACTCCCTGCTTTAGCATTTCAGTCCTCTATAATGAGAACAACGTATTTTTGGTGTCAGTTATAGAAGGTATTGTAAGTCTTCGTAGAATTGGTCAATTTCAACCTCTTCAGCATTGGTGTATGGAGCATAAACTTGGATTACTGTGATGTTGAAAGGTCTGCCTTGGATTCGTATTGAAATCATTCTAACATTTTTGAGATTCTGAATTGAATTCGCCCATTCCCATCCATTTTAGTTCACTGATGGCCAGGATGTCAATGTTTCTTCTTGCCATCTCCTCTTTGACCACATCCAGCTTACCAAGGTTCCTAGATCTTACATTCCAGGTTCCTATGCAGTATTTTAATTTGCAGCATCGGACTTTCCTTTCACTTCCAGGCGCGTCTGCAGCTGAGCGTCCTTTCGGCTTTGGCCCATCCACTTCATTAGCTCTGGATGTATTTGTACTTCTCCTTCGTTCTTCCTCAGTAGCATGTTGTAGCTACTCGTACTTGTTCTCTACTCTTCCTCAGTAGCATCTTGGACGCCTTCCGACCTGAGGGGCTCATCTTCCATTGTCATATCTTTTAGTTTTTTGTTTCTGTCCATGGAATTTTCTTGGCAAGGATACTGGAGTGGCATTGTCATTTCCTACTCCAGATGGATCGTGTTTAGTTTAGTCAGAACTCTCCACTATGACCTGTCCATCTTGGGTGTCCCTGCACGGCATAGCCCATTGCTTCTTCGAGTTACTCAAGCTCCTTCGCCATGACAAGGCAGCAGTCTGTGAAGGGGATTGGCTACATGACACATTTGTTAATGGTGTGCATTTTCCTGACATTCTGGATCTTGATTAAACATGGACATATTTTGGTACAACACATTAAACCAAAAGGCATTTTTCAAAAACTGAGTATCTCTTAAGTGTCAGATGTTTTCTTGGTCATGATGGATCAAACTGGTAGTGATACAGAGTTGCATGGCTCTCTCTATTTTTGTTTCTTCTTTCAAAACACAATGATGGGTCAGACTGGTTTCTTTTCAGGCTTGAACACTAAGTTGGAGAAAGAAGGGTGCTTGGTCTTTTCCCTGTGTCAATCCCCCAATGCAGTTTTGCTTTCCAGAACTGCTATGGAGGAGAGACATGCAGGCACTGGTTGTATTTTTATGTTTTGTACTCAACAGATAATGGTAGCTGTAGGATGTGTGTGCCTTGGATTAGGGCTGTGGCTTGGAGGGAAAAAGGTTTCTCTGATCTAAATCATCCCTCTGTATAACAGAGAAAAAAATGATGCCATGTCTAGTTTGACCGTAATATTCAGTGATGATAATGTAAAATTAAGATGGTTAAATTACTGTTTGTCAAAATATAAACTGTCTGTCATGAATGGGAAAAGGAAGAATGAATGACATGCTCACTAAATTACTGTTTCCACCATTTCTAGAATAGCCTCTTTATATTTTTGTGGAATATAATAGTAAATTTGCTGCTTTGTGGGAGCTGGGGTTGAAACAGTGAATTCCACTTACCTATCAAGGATAGTTGACTGGTGGGGTTTGTTTTCAGGTGAATTGCTTGAGCACATGGTAATAAATTAAAGGAGGTATGATGAACCTGTGACTCTCCAGGTGCTGTCTTCAAACTCAGCCACTGGCAGCATAACCAAAGTTCAAGGATGATGGCAGATCTAATTCAATATCTGAAGGTCTACAGATATCACACCCTTGAACCACAGGTTTCCCATTTCTGTAGGCTGAGAACAGGTATGGAAGAGGATCCAGGTGTGGAAGAGGATCCAGGTAAAATCACTCAGGATTCAATCAGATGGGCATTTTTTCTGCTATTTGGTCTGCTGCAGGGACAGATTTGGCCCATTTTCCCCCAGTGATCACACAAAGTAATCACTAGAGTGAACCAAACTAACCTCAGAGTACTCCTATCTGCACCTTTTTGAGCTCCTGCCGAGGCTTCTACTTTTTTGGTGCAGGTAGGATTACTCTAGTTTAGTCCATCTCCAGCATGTACGATTTCTGGGAACAGACCAAAAGGAAGCCTTACCAGCTGTCAAGGCTTCTTCCGGTTTGATTTCCCAATATCATTAAATGGCTTAATAAGTGCTGCTCAGTGGAGGGGCATGGGAAGGGAATTTTTTAAACAAGTCTCTAATAGACTATTGCTGAGGCACTGCATTGCTTGGAAAGAAAAAAAAAAGAAAAGAAAAAAATTATTTTCTTTGGCTTCTCTTAAAATACCAGTCAAGAAACTGTCCACAGCCGAATCTAGTTTCTGAAGTGGCCCTTCAGACTAACTAAATATGTATATATTATTTTTTTAAAGTGATGTGGTGCCTCAGCAATAGTCTACAAGTGTCTTTTTTTTTAAAAAAAAAATTCACTTTACCTGCCCTTTAGCCAAGGAGCAGAGGAAGTGTTCAATTTGCCAATATCCTGAAGGGGTTCACTTATTAAGCCATGTCACAGTATCGAAAGGAGCTGGACCAAATAGGGTCACTTGAGCTCCAATATGCCATTTGAATGTGAGGATTGCACTAAATGGCATACTGCACCTCCACTCAATCCCAAGTGACCCTATTTAGGCTGCATTAGCCCGCTCCAAGTAGATGTGCTTCCAGTTATTCTTTACCTCTAGGAAGACAGTGGAAAGTTAATGAAAGAAATGATAAAGCAGTTTGCACAACCAAGTGACACAGAAGTGAAGGATTTTTACATGTGTGAGTTAAAAAAATAACTAATCAAATTGACAATATATACTGTAAGCTCTAATTTAATTTGAAAGAGGTACTTGCTGTGTTTATCATTCATTTGTAAAGCTCTGCCAAAGCCTCTAAAATGAATAGATAACATGATTGTATACATCCCCTTCATTTCAATGCTTTGCAGAGAAGAACTTCCAAGTACACTGTGTTTTCTGTCACTTATCTAATTACACATTCCTGTGTAGCAAAAAGTGTCTATTTCGTAAGCACCTTGATTCTTAAATATGTTTTGGAAGAGAGTCTAACTGAAATTAGACTAGCACCTAAGTAAATATCTTTAGGGGGTGAGATGCAGGCTCCAAAAAGATTGTGTCACAGAAGAAATGATGAGCCAACCTAATAAATCCTACTTTAGATGGTTCTGCATCAATTCCCCTTATAATTATCATTTTGAAAATGTCAAATAGGAATGAAATGTCTCTGAATTGCTTGTGTCAAGTACCAGTAGGAAAACTGTGAGTGGTGAAGTTCCACAGAAGATTTTAAATGGCATTTATGTGTTTCCTACTGTTTTTTGAATTAGCAATGTAACATACTGTAATTGAATGACTTACTACTTGATCTCTGGGCAGGGAAGCAGCCGTGTTGTAATCTCTTTTGAGTCCAAATACAACATGCTGCCTTTGTCACAGTTGACATTAATTATTGATAAAGCCTTCAGAAATAGCGCATGTGCTGTGAGCACTGCCTGTAATATAAGCTAGACAGAGCAGTGATGCTAGAGGGAATTGGAAACAGCAACGTTGTACCTGTAGCATCTGGACTTCTGTATGTCTAAACTTTGAATTCTGCTGTGAGCAGTGTCAGAGCTCTTTGATTGACCAAAGAATAGGAAGATGAATCGCCAAGCTTACTTCTATCGTGTCCCTCCACAGGAACTGCACAGAAGGACCCAACTCCAGCCTGAGCCAGCAAAGACGAAGGCTCTTCAGACAGTCATAGAGATGAAGGTATGAATGTTGAATGATTACCAGTATGCATCATTTTAGTGTGATAGCCACAACTATTGCTTGTTGGTTTTAAGGCTGAAACAGTCCTTTATTTTTATTATAAAAGAGGCACAGCTTTGCACAGCATGAGCATGTTGTATTGCCACCCACACCATGTTTCCAAGTGAGTGTACGTCTGTTAAATGTCCCCATCTTAGTATAGGTGAGTAATGCTGATGCTTCATTTTAGAAATACATAACCAAGAGGGTAAAATATTTTGCCTTCATTGTCTCCCGAAGAAGATTTTCTTTTGTTTTGCAGTCTTTTCCTGAGGAAAACCATTTTTCCACATTTTCCCCTCAGCGAAGATAGCTCTTTTCTTGAGCAACTTGCTTTTGACATATTTTTACAAGAAACCTGACAAATAGATTTTGAAGATTTTGGGAAATAGCAAAGGAAGATAATTTTGCAGTTCAATATAGCATCAAGAAAAGTTGATTACTCTTCCTTCTGTATCATAATAATTTCCTGCACCTGTTGCTATCAGTTCTTGTCTGGAAGATGATTCCTTTAGATAATGGGCATACTGTGATCTGAAAATGTATCAAGGCACATTGGTCCATTTTACAGAGTGTACACATTCTTAACATACTGAAAAGTTAGGGGGAAATAGACTTTAGGAATAGCATGTGTGTGCTAAAATACAGAGGTCAGTATCCTGTTTGCTTGCTGGTGGAGTGATGTGCTCTGCCTGTGTGGCTCAATGCAGTTTTCATTTCAGGAGATTACAGAAAACAGCCGTTGGCATGAATGGGGCTTCTCCTTGCACAAAGAGATACTGGATACCCCCGTACACAACTTTGCTGCTCACCAACTGTTCATGCAATGGATGTTACACTAGTGGAGGGACTCAACAGGATACTGACCTGAACTTTTTAGATCTATCAAGTGGAAAATAATAGCAACGTATGTATATACATGATAGAATTATATGATTTCCTTTGAGCCAGCTATTTACATGATAGTAGGTAGGAGCATTTCTACTACAGAGGTTGCTTTGTGTATTTATACTGTATTTCTTTGAGGTAAGTTAGACTGAGAGATAAGTGCACTCTAAATCATTCATTTAACCAGACTGGCTCTAATTGTTTGAGTTGTTCTTAAGCTTGCACTAATTTCTAAACAATCAACAGTGTTTTGAGAGAAGAAGTAAACCACAATGACAAGGGATATTACAGTTGGGTTTAATGGGGTTTACATTCCACCCCCAGCCCCGATTGGGATCCTTTTGCAGGTCCCTGTAATAGGATCTGTGGTCCAACAAAAATTGTAAATTGTGGCTTAACAAACGACAAACAAGCAAACAAACAAACAAATGGCATTGAGTGAGCTTAGTAACTTTGGACTAGTTTCTTTCTTTTAGCCAAACTTGCTTCACAGGGATGTTTATTTATTTATTATTTATTAATTATACTTATACCCCGCCCATCTAGTCATAGACTACTCGGGGCGCCTAACATTATGACAATATTTTTTCCTCACTCTTCTGTATCTCAAGATCCCTTCTATTTTACTCCCACTCTTTAACAGTGTTTGCTAGCAAACTATCCATATTCTTTGGACTATTTTCTGACTGAATTTTGTAGCCTGTAAACTTGCTGCCTGCTCTGAACTCATATCTTCCATTCCTTTCTCCAGAGCATGGAAGGATTGGCCAGGATTTTACTAAAGATTAGGGGTGTGCCATTCTTTTCTTTCTTTCTTTTTTAAAGTTCAACTCTTGAAAATTCTCTGAAATTCCCCAGGCACAATTCATGGAGTTCCATTCCACAAACCCATATCTGCCGACACTTATTTCACTCATTTATACAAGGATAAGGTCTCATTTCCTGATGCAGTGCTTCTTGAGAGGAAGCTGACACGGTGCTTCCTGGTTGTGGTAGTTCTTTGCAGTTGGGGGGGGGCGGCATTTTTATATAGCCTGAAGGGTAGCAAGACTGGCATGTCCAGGAAGAATTGCAGCAGAAAATTTGAAATGCAATGCAACCTTGGAGGCCTTGACTTTGTGCAAGTGATTGAAATGAGGTTTGAGTCTGTGGGATGGAACTTCCAGAATTCTGACTGTCGAGTTCTGGGAGTTGAAGTCAAACAGTACACCCCTGCTGCTGATTTATAAAAGAAAATGCTTACGTCTTGAGGCTCATTAAAAGAATGACATACTTGTGGCTATTCTAGATGCATGCTAGTTCACATGACAGGGCATGTATCCATAGACACAAGCGGCACCCTATTAATGAGAGGCAATTTGCCACCAAGACTTAATTCCCCTTGTGCAAGTGTTAACTGGCAGTAAGATTGTGGCTAATAAGCTACCAGTAACATAATTACTTGCTGCCAGTTATTTTATGGGATAATGAGGGTGTAATGAAATTATTGTTCAGAAATTAGATAATGAGTAGGGTGGACATTACTTTGTTGGTATAATGAGCAATGTTCTCTAGTTCTTTTCAAAATTTCTTTAGAACAGCATTTTGTGACATTTGAAGGCATTTCTAGAGGCATTTTGATAGCAGTTGTTCAAGTTTTACCGTATGTCAATTTCTTACCAGTCTCAAGGTTTTTATTTTAGTTTACAGAAAGTAAAAAAACAAACAAAAAAACACATAGTAAGTAGGCAGCCAAAAATATGATGCAACTAAGAATGGGATTTTTTTTAATTTCTTGAATGAGAAATCCCATAGTTCTCTGTTCTGGGTGTTCTGCCTGATAGACAGACACTGAAATATGGTTCACCTGGGAGAAAGGTTTCAACCAGAAGGTTTTGAGGCTTACTTAAGACTAGTTTCTCCAAAGTTTTCTGTTCCTATCCCAGTGCCAGCTAAGAGCATTATTTCTGAACAGGGAACTAAAGTATTTCGGTTGAAGCCTTCCTGCCAGATAGGCCATATTTAGGTGTATGCAAGGAGCCTGTCTGTTAGGTGGAACTCCCAGAATGAAGAATTACAGAAATCCAGAATGAAGAATTTCAAAAATCCAAATCTCCAAATACTAAAGGTAAGTTTTCATCCTGTATGGAGTTACTTAGAACAATAGAGAACTTATGTGAGGCTGTTGTTTGTGGATTATAGCTCTGCTTTTAATATCATTCTACCCAATAGGTTGTTTTTAAAAATGATCAACCTGGGATTACCTCAGGAGATCTGCATGTGGATAAAGGATTTTCTGACAGATAGGCCACAGTCAGTAAGGATGGGATCTCACCATTCTTCCACCTTGGTACTAAGTACAGGAGCTCCACAAGGCTGTGTGCTAAGTCCCTTCCTCTGTTCTCTGTACACACATGATTGCACCCCACTGTATAATACCAACACAATTATTTAATTTGCGGATGATACGACAGTGGAGGGGCTTATAAATAACAATGAGTCTGCTTATAGAAAGGAAGTACAACGGTTGATATTGTGGTGTAAAGAAAATAATCTTACACTTAACATAAAAAAAAAACAACTAAAGAACTCATAATTGATTTTATGAGGAAGAGAAATGTACATTTACCACTATACATAAATGGCGAGAAAGTGGAGAGGTTTGGTAGTTTTACGTTTCTGGGCACTTACATCTCAGAGGACCTCTCATGGACTATAAATGCCAACATGCTAGTGAAGAAGGCACAGAAGAGGCTTTATTTCCTGAGAATGCTCGGGAAGTTAAATTTATCTCAGCATTTACTTCTGTCCTACTATTGTAGCACCATTGAGAGTGTCCTAAGCTATGGCATTCTGGCATGGTTTGGGAGCAGCTCTGTAGCAGACAAAAAAGCTCTACAGAGAACCATTAAAATTGCCCCAGAATATCATCGGGCTCCAGCTATCAACCCTGGATGACATCTTCACATCCCGCTGTCTGAGGAAGTCACACAACATCCTTAGAGACTTTCCCCATCCTGCTCACAACCTTTTTGAACCGTTGCCATCTGGCAAAAGATACAGAACAATTAAGACTCGGACCACATGTTTTCTGAATAGTTTTTATCCCAGAGCTATAATTGCACTTAATAATGAACCACCAGCAGTGAACAGTTGGACAGTGTTATTTAGCCCGCGGTGCAGATGTTTGTGTTCTTAGTGGGGGATTTTTGGTGGGTGGGGAGTGTTTGGGGATTTTTTATGTGTGTGCATGTGGGTCTGGTCTCTGGGTGTCTGTGTGAATTTTGTTGTATGTGTATACTATGTATATACTCACAATGACAATAAATTTATTTGATTTGATTTGTAAGTAACTCGTTCTTTCTCCAACACTATAATAAGTAAAACCAAGAAATTATACTTCAAATACTGTAAACTTTCCAGTTTCCAGTTTTGTATTGCTCTTCATTCTCACAGAATTGCCAAACACTCTGGTATAGACAGTGTTTCTTGTGCAGTTAGTGTGAACACTCCATGACAACAAAGCAGCTCAACCAGGATGGAAGTAGAATGCAGGCAATTAGCTGAGAGTGAATTTTAGTGTATTCTAAATAAGATCAGAGTTCCTGAATAGAAGAAAAAGTGCCCCCCCCAAAAAGGCAATAAAGTGTGGGAGGTGGAGGTTACATAGTTATTGGGACTGTTATCTACAGTATGCCTTCAGTCTCCTGCCCCCTGTACATATATGTGTATGTGTGTATAAGAGATACACACAGCTGCTAGGATATTTTGCAGAGAAATATAGTGAACATATAGCAATGTATGTACTATGGTAGACTAAAATGGGGAAAATTGCTCAATAATATGGATTAATGTTGAACAGATTTGTTTTACCACAGCTTTTAGAAGGAAATAAGATTGATTAGTATACTGATTCCTAGCATTGGTCAGGCAGACTGTTTCTAATAACCATTCCTCATTGAGCAATAAGGAATGGGTAAGGACCCTGGTGCTAAGGAAATGGCAGGGCCTACGTAACACAGGAATAAATTGGAATGTAATGTCATAAAGTGGGAGATGTGAGTGATAGAATGGATAGAGGGCAAAAAACACATGCTATTTTAACCTGCTGATATATCATGATGTTCAGGATCAAACTGTGTTTTCCAGCAAGAGATTGACCAATATAAACTTAACTATGGGTCAGCGTTAACTAAGAAGGAAAGCTGAGGATCTCTATGACATCTACATTTCTCTAGGATGTGAGGGTGATCTGGCTGCAACACCTGTTACACCAAGGTTGATTTGACTGATCTGCCTGACCAAACATTTCTCCAAAGTTACCATACTTTACATCAGTCTTGTCCAACCTGCGGCCCGTGGGCCGCATGTAGCCCAGGTCGGCTCGTAATGCAGCCCAGTGCAATTTTTTATTTTTAAAGAAATTCCAAAGTTTCAAGTTACACTGCCGGCGCTTGCGGCCAGAATGTGGCTGGGGCACGTCACAACCGGGGGGGGGGAGGGAAGGAAAGAAGGAGCGGGAGGGGAGGGGAGAGGGGGGCTGCGTGACTGCATTGCACCTTCCCTGTCATTAGGTGGACCCCTCCCAGCCCCATAAAGCCACCGGAGTCGAAGCTGGCAGCCTCTGCTGTCTGAGATCGCAGATGCCAGTAAGTGCGCTTGGAGCTGGGCTGCGGAGGACGGCTAGGGCTGCCCCCCCCATGCTGCCCAAACCAAATTTATGTGCGGCCCAAACCAAATTTTCATCTTCTCATGTGGCTCAGAGAAGGTGAAAGGTTGGACACCCCTGCTTTACATATTGCAGAAGAACATTTCTTCTTAACTCAGTTTGAAAGACATACAGATCATGAATTTGGACTACTGTAAAGGCACGTTGCTTAGCATTCTATTGTAAGAATCTTTTTGCTCTTAGTTGCCATGGATTTCTTGCTCATGTAAGCCTGAGACATAATAGAGCAGGGGCTATGCGGTGTTAAGAAACTTGTAAAATGCACGTGTATAAGGCATCCCATTCAGTAACAATGTTTCTGATGTTATTGTTGAAAGGTTCTTAAATGTTTCCCTGTTCAGAGTAATTTGTCCATGTTTTCTAAATCTTCTTCAAAATTGCTTAAACATATTGAGATGGATTTTTGTAATGGAAAGAGTATGTCAGTCAAGTTTGTGAAATCTTGTTTGAAATGGCAGAAAATTTTGTGTTATCTGAAAAAACTAATAGCTCTTATTTGGCCACTTCCATGGACCACAGCCCACTTCTTCAGATGCAATAAATTAATAATGTTGATATATATCTAATTAAATTAATAGACTTGTTGGTATATTAGCAATCCATCTGTCTGAAAAAAATAGTAATGATTTATTACATCAGCAGTCCTAACATGAAAGCATTTTCAGCAGAGAGGGATCGTCTTTAGCATATTTTATCCAAAGAAGAAATAGTTTTTTCAGACATTATTAGTTTGGATTACTCCAAAATATTGCTGTTTTTTTCTACACACATAAGAGAATTGCAGAAATCACAAATGATTGAGGATAGTTAAAGGCGTGCTGTTTGTATGCCTGATCACTTGTCCAGCATGCAGTCAGGCATGCAACTGGGACCTAGTTCATTAGCCACAATTAGCTACTCTGACTTCTATGATTGCACTACTACGTGCAGAAAAACAAATAGAATATTGTTGACCTTTGTTTACTAAAATGTGTGTCATAAATAAAAGAGAATGATACACTCTTCTTTTCTATAGGGACAATTGATCTGAGACCTTGAGTAGACATGTGAAAAAGCCTAAAACTGTTCACACATAACTATGAAATAATTAAACAGATAAGGTAGAAAATATCTTGTTTGCATGAGTTTTTTGTTCGTTTTGTGGATGATGTATTCTAATTGAATATTATTCTTCTCAAATCAGTTTATTGTGTGTGCATACATTCTGAACTGGTGAAATATAACTTCAAGATAACTTCAAATAAACCTTATATAGAAAAGCCATAAGTTCCCTTAAGAAATCCTTTTCAAGTCATTTATTGGGTGTAGCTTGCATTTGCGTATGTGATCTCCAAAATAAAAATAATGATATTCAAGGAGGAACACTTGGCCAAGACACACTTGGTTGCAGATCTATACTGGGGTTTTGTCTTACTTAGCAAGAGTAGCAATAGCAGAGGCTCTTCCTCTTTTTCTTCATGTCACCACACTCCTTTTCTGTATTTCTTTCTTACCTCTTCAGGCAGTGCCAATCGGAGCAATCAGGCAGGTTAGGGGGGAGGGGATGAATTCCACTTTTTGAGCCTTGGCAAGTCCTCAGAAAACTATTTTTCATCATGCTCTCAGTCCAAAAAGAAATGTAGAAATATATTTCTATATTTTTGGTATTGGAAAGAACAGATTATGTGTGTTACAGTTTCTTACATTGCAATTCTAGAACCATATAGTTGTTATCAAGCAGAATCTATCCAAAGGCCATCAACCTGAGCAGTTATTTGGGTAAACCACATATCAGAGGGACACCTACAACCCAGACAAGAGCCCGATGACGTTTTCTGCTTGTATTCTCAGTAAAAGTCAGGAGAACATTAGAAATAATTTTTGGAGAGACTGATCTTGGAAGAAAAATCAGTGAGTTGGGCGAAAAAAACCCTTGGAACACGGCTATAAACCTTTGCATATTCGGAGAATCTCTTTGGACAGTAATCTTTGGCTACAGTCCTGAGGACCAAGCATTCAAGTATAATATCTAGGGTTTTTCTTCTATACAGAAGATATTCTTCAAAACTAGCAATAGGTGCCTCTAGATAATTGGATGCTCTACTGTGATGTCCTAGTTAATCTATATCAGGTTCCTTACAATAAAGACTTTTCTAACATCAAAATAACACCCATAAAAAAATATACAGAAGCTTCACAGAAAACGGTCAGAAGAAGGTTCGCTAGGAACTGATTCCACTCAGGACTTATTATGATAAATGGAATGCTTACAAGAACGCATATCTGTTCATTTCAAAGAGGAGACATTTGTGGGAGTAGTAGCCAGAGCATTCTAATTTATATGTGCCCAATGTGGGTGAGAATAAAAATTTTATCATGTGCAAGAGAGAACATAGGTGTAGCAAGCAGCATACGTTATGGGTATATAAAGAATTATTAAGAGAATGAACATATTTGTGATTTACCTTGCTTCTTGCAGAGAGAACCATCTTTCTGTATTGATCCAGCTGTGGTATTTCAGGTATGTTACAGCATTATTGCTCAAAAGCTGAGTGTGTAGTATGTAGTACGTAGAACTTTCTTTGCACGAAGCTGTCTTTCTAGTTTTAATTCTCAATTTAGGCCTTTTTGTGGCTTTAGGATGAACACAGGTAGGATAGAGTCACAACACAATTTGCATGAGATTCTCCTTTGATTTCTCTTTTGCCTGATGATTTTTTGTGCTTTTGTTCTCTTACATAGAACACATTTCGACAAAGTATTTATTCCTAAGCATAATTTGTTTAGTCCCTTTTAAACATGTTAGATTTTCTTGCAGATTTTATGAGTATGGGAAGAGCCTTAATCTTATGATGTACCAAGGTTTGAGGAAGTCCTCATTGCTTAAAAAAAAAAGATAAGCTATCTTCCCTCAGCTGAAAGATATTACAGTCTTAACATCTCTATTAACAAGTTATTTTCTCCCCCTCTTTGAGTTTTATTTTTAGTTAATTGTCTCAAGATTGGTTTCTGACTTTTTATTACATAACCTTTTAAATGCTTTTTAAAAGTAGTTTGTACCCACAGATTCTTAATTACTCACAGAACTGCTCACGGAAAGGAGATATGGTTAATTCTAATTTATACTACAGTATTATCATATGTCCACTGACATTTCATGAAAATAGAGCTAGTGTTTCATTTGCTACTTAATGAGATATTATCTGTTGCCACCAGGGTAATTTCGTTGTTTTAAATATATGTATATATTAAGAAAGGTGGAATAGCAACAAAACAACCATATGTACCAGCAGCACATTTCTTCACTGCTGTGTTCGTGTGACTCAGTTGTACATTGGCTTCATATTATCTATGCTGTGGATTTCAACTTGATCCATACTGGAAGATGCCATTGAAGATATATAGGACTGTGCTCCAGTAGCCTTTGCAGATCTTTTGTATCAGTGACAGATTGTCTTGTTCCTTTTACAGTGGTGCCCCGCATAGCGAGGTTAATCCGTTCCGGATTAACCTTCGCTATGGGAAACATCGTTAGGTGGGACAGGGAAACCCATTCCAAATGGGCCCAAAACTCACCGGTCTCCGATGTTTCCCCATGTTCCTGCGGCCATTTTGGGTGTCCCGGCGGCCATTTTGGGTGTTCTGGCGGCCATTTTTAGTGTTCCGGTGGCCATTTTGGGTGTCCGGTGGCCATTTTGGAACTGCTGAACAGCTGTTCCCACATCGCAATACAAGGATGCCCTCGCATTAGCGATGGGGAAATCCTCATCGGTATGTGGATTCTTCGTTAAACGGTGCACTCGTTATGCGAGGCACCACTGTACTTTGGAGGAGTTAATTTACTGTTCTTTCTTTGCTGCTTCTTGTAGAGCATAAAAAAAAGAGACAGGCCCTATCTTGATTACTAGAAGTGTTATTAATAAACACAATACTCTCATCCTTGCATTAAAACGTGCAAAGATATTTATCCTTGCATTGTGAGAAGAAGATTGTGTGTTTGTGTGTGTTTGTGTTGGAAAGAATTTGTACATTTGGGAGGCCAGTTTAGGGTTTTTTTGCACAATTATGCAAACATGAAACAGTAATCTGCCTTGTTACTGCATAGCTTTTGAGAGGAAGAAGGAGTAGATTTGCATTTTTGTGAGCAATTTATGCTTGTTGGTGAAAACAGCATGTTTGGGTGTCACACTGGAGCAAAGTCTGCACACCATTTGGAGAGTCCACAGTAAGTTGTTTTGGTATGTTAAGACCACCTCTCAGGAACATTAATGAAATACTAGCTAAATGTTATTGCATCTGTACTTTTAAATAACAGAGACAGGAGGAAAGCAAGTTCCATAGTCCAGAGGTCATGTTTTACTACCCAAGACTAAAGTCAGGTGGGGTTTTTTTTGCTTTGTTTTTGTTGAAAGAAAACTTTCAGAGGATGAAACGTGGCATGGGTGAGTGCGCTCATTGTTTCATAAGAAATTGCTATTCTGACCCGACCAGATAGGCGGGATATAAATAAAATAAATAAATAAATGAATCTTCTGGTTACGGTATTTTTTACTGTTTTATTATTTTATTATTTTTTACTGTTTTTTTTCCAAGTGGAGTGGTGGTAGTGGTATACAGTGGTGCCTTGCTTAACGATTGCCTCATTTAGCAATGTTTTCGCTTAACGATGGTTTTTTAAAAAGAAGTCTATGCATCATTTAACGATGTTTCCTATGGGCAATTTTCGCTTAGCGATTTCGGGACCATGCTTCGCATAGCGAATGCATTTTTAGGTCCCCTGTTTCACTTAACGTTTTTCCAATTTTAAAAGTGTCTTAAAATGTTCAAAAATGTTTTAAATGCTTGGAATCATTAGTGCCCCTTCTAAAACGTGTGCAAACTTCATTTGGCTTTGATCTGACTTTTCGTTAATTTTTGGTGAATTTTTTTCTCCCCCATAGGAAACAATGGAGCTGTCAAAAGTTGGGCTCCGTTGTTTCCTATGGGGGATAAATAAATTCACAACAAATTAACGAAGACTCAGAACAAAGCCAAACTAAGTTTGCACACGATTTAGAAGGTGCTCTAACGAACCCAAGCATTTAAAACAGTTGCTGACTTTTTGTTAATGTTTTGTGAATTTTTTCCTCCCCCATGGGAAACAATGGAGCCCAACTTTTGACAGCTCCATTGTTTCCTATGGGGGAGAAAAAAATTCATAATAAATTAACGAAGACTCAGAAACTGTTTTAAATGCTTGGATTCATTGGAGCACCTTGCAAAACCTGTGCAAACATAGTTTGGCTTTGTTCTGAGTCTTCATTAATTTTTTGTGAATTTATTTCTCCCCCATAGGAAAGCATGGAGCTGTCAAATTTTGACAGCTGTCAAAAGTTGTTGGGGGAAAAATCAGCAAAAATTAACGAAAAGTCAGATCAAAGCCAAATTAAGTTTGCACCCGTTTTAGAAGGTGCACTAACGATTCCAAGCATTTAAAACAGTTTTTGAACCTTTTAAGACACACTTAAATTTGCAAAAATGGACATCGCAAAACCATTGAAATGCATTGAATAGGCTTCAATGCATTCCAATGGAGGAAGCATTGTATCGCTTAACGATGTTTCCTATGGGTTTTTTCGCTTAAGGATGGCAATCCGTGCCTATTGGTAAGGATTAACTGGTTTTCAATGCATCTCTATGGGAAAACGCGTTTCGCTTAAGGATGTTTTCCCATAGCGATGTTTTTTTGGGAACCAATTAACATCGTTAAGCAAGGCACCACTGTAAATAGATAGGGGTGTGTGGGGGTCATGGGTTGCCTACCTTTGGTTACCAAACTTCTTCAGGCCTCATACTTAAAAATTAGCTTTTTGCATTTTACTAGCTTTGCGCTGACATTTCCTACTCCCTCTACAAGATTATTCTCAAAGAGGTTTCTACAAATGGTGACCAGACATATTTAGGAGTTTTTGCTTAATATGTATGGTTAACATGTATAAATAGGGTGCATAACACAATATTGCAGTGTGGAGTACTGTGGAGTAACCACAATCGGCATACTAACTAGCTGGCCATGTACTCTTTCAGAATGCCCATTGAATCTAACTCCCTGCCTTTCAGGCTCAGTTAACCATTGACAGATTCAGTTGACACTATTCTGTTTAGGAGTATTAATTCCCACAACTCCCCCACAATATATATTTTTTCTTTTAAATTGCTTTGTTTGTGTCATGCCTGCTAATACCTACATTGTGTACATGGATATCATACCCTGAAGATTGAATTCTCAGTTACCATAGAGCACAAGGCAAATTTCTGAGCTTTCAGAGCTGTAAGATGCCCACCCTGTTGATTAGAAGGTCACTTCCACCTCTGCCTCCCTTCCAATTAAAAAAAAATTAACATCTAGTTTTGAAAATATCTTTGGACCTAAAACATCTTAGAACTTGGTGGCTTGTATGCTGCAGTGTTTAGAGTGGGTGAAAATAGTGAATTCACCCACCCAATAGTGGGTAAAAAAATTAATTTTGCGGTGGGGTGAAGGTATGGAGTTGCTGCGGACAACACTGTGCACCACCTATTCATGTTATGTGAGTTCACGTGTACCCACCCTACAGAAATAATATTCCTGACCAGGTTGTTGGGGCAGATCTTGCATGTAATTTCTACCTTTTTGTTGAGTGATGACACTGAATCTATTCTGTTATCACTGAGTCAGGATTTCTTGGGTTCTATTGCAGTCATGGATCTATCCCCAAATATATCAGCATCTGTTTATTCAGCAGGGCCCCCTCTGGATTTAGGCAGTCTTGTTATGGAGAACCCAAGTATAAAGTTCCCTAGTCATGAACAGATGGCTGTCACATTGGGTTTAGAAACTTTGGGGTAGAAATGGAATTTTTAGTCACATACACTGGTGATTTTCTCTAAGCCCCTAAACAATAAGTAGCAGCAGCTTTATAGAATAATCTATCAAACCATTTCAAATAAAATAAGCACTTACTAACAACAGTGACAGAAATAGATTCTTAAATCCTAATATATAACTGTACAGTGGTGCCTCGCTTAACGAGCGCCCCAGTTAACGACGAAATCGCATAGCGATTTGGTTTTTGCGATTGCAATAGTGATCGCATTGCGATGTTTTAAATGGAAAAAAAATCATTTTGCGATGATCGGTAAGCTGTTTCGCTTACCGATTTTCGCATAGCAATGTTTTCTCAACAGCTGATCAGCGGTTCCAAAATGGCCACCGGGTAAAAAAACATGGCCGCCTGCTGTATTTTGGGACGGATTCCTCGCATACCGGGCAGCGAAAATGGCCGCCGTATGGAGGATTTTCACTTAAAGGTAAGTTTTTTGCCCATAGGAACGCATTGAAGGGTTTTCAATGCATTCCTATGGGCTTTTAAAAATTGCTTAGCGATGTTTTCGGTTAGCGGTGATTTTTGCTGCACCGATTAACATCGCTAAGCGAGGCACCACTGTATTATTCAAGAAAAGTCTAAAATATTCAAGAAAAGTCTAAAATAATAAAATACT